AAAAAAAAAAAACCAAAAACAAACAAAAAAAAAACTTAAAAAGGAGAGAAAAAGTGGAAAACAATCTGTTCAGAGATGTTGGGACCTATGAGTTTTCAAGCCTGAGAACTTATTTCTGATTTGTTGGGTGTCCACTGTCCAGTATCATCCTTCCTTATTGGACTGCTCTTCTCGTAGTCCACAATTTCATGGGTGTCCTTTTAGTTTTCCAATTTTTGCATCTCAAACTTTTGGAAGCCGGGCATTTTCATTAAATTATTTGCTTGTGAATACACAGGAGTCTTTTACATGCTCCAAACCAGAAAACACTCACAAGCAGGGCAAATTATTTCAGTGCTTTCTTGATAAATTCAATCTTCATCGGTTCATGACTAACACTTTTCTTTTGCTTTACTCTCAAGCTTGCATGCTCCAAACCAAAAAGTTAGGGAACAAATTGTGCCTAGTGCAAAGTCCTATCCTTTGGATGCAATCATGAAGGATTGCAGGGACTACTTCCTTGAAACCAGTCGAAGGGTATCCTTTGAGTACACACTTTTAGGTATTGGAATTGCACCTGCCTTATTTTTCATGTTCCTTTCCTGAACACATGGATTGACAACATGAAATACGTTGCAACTTCTTTTGGCAGCTGGAGTCAATGATGCAGTGGAACATGCAATAGAACTTGCAGATCTCATCCAGGAATGGGGACCTGGTTATCACGTGAACCTGATACCTTTCAATCCAATAGAAGGCTCTGAGTATCGGCGTCCGTATAAAAAAGCAGTACGCCTTTCATTTCCTTTTTCTATTTGGTGCATTTATGGACATTTATAATCGTTCATGATCCTCTCTCTTCCCCCTCCCCCAATCAAATTTACCTCATCCTCGATGGTTAAATATTTTCCTTAGTCTCATCACTTGATTCAAACGTTAGAATTTCTAGATTTTGTTTAATTGTATCTGGCAGGTGCTTGCATTTTCTGCTGCTCTAGAGTCCCGAAAAATAACTGTCAGTGTACGTCAAACACGTGGCCTAGATGCCAGTGCTGCTTGTGGACAGCTAAGAAACGAATTCCAGAAGAGCCCTTTGCTTCCAGACTCTGATGACGTGCAATCTCAATTGGGCATCGCAGTTGCTTGTTGATACCACAGAGTTTCTCAAGAGTCTGATAGTTTGCTAAGCTTGCTGTATACCATATACTTCATCTTCCAACCACTTACGANTTAAAAAGGAGAGAAAAAGTGGAAAACAATCTGTTCAGAGATGTTGGGACCTATGAGTTTTCAAGCCTGAGAACTTATTTCTGATTTGTTGGGTGTCCACTGTCCAGTATCATCCTTCCTTATTGGACTGCTCTTCTCGTAGTCCACAATTTCATGGGTGTCCTTTTAGTTTTCCAATTTTTGCATCTCAAACTTTTGGAAGCCGGGCATTTTCATTAAATTATTTGCTTGTGAATACACAGGAGTCTTTTACATGCTCCAAACCAGAAAACACTCACAAGCAGGGCAAATTATTTCAGTGCTTTCTTGATAAATTCAATCTTCATCGGTTCATGACTAACACTTTTCTTTTGCTTTACTCTCAAGCTTGCATGCTCCAAACCAAAAAGTTAGGGAACAAATTGTGCCTAGTGCAAAGTCCTATCCTTTGGATGCAATCATGAAGGATTGCAGGGACTACTTCCTTGAAACCAGTCGAAGGGTATCCTTTGAGTACACACTTTTAGGTATTGGAATTGCACCTGCCTTATTTTTCATGTTCCTTTCCTGAACACATGGATTGACAACATGAAATACGTTGCAACTTCTTTTGGCAGCTGGAGTCAATGATGCAGTGGAACATGCAATAGAACTTGCAGATCTCATCCAGGAATGGGGACCTGGTTATCACGTGAACCTGATACCTTTCAATCCAATAGAAGGCTCTGAGTATCGGCGTCCGTATAAAAAAGCAGTACGCCTTTCATTTCCTTTTTCTATTTGGTGCATTTATGGACATTTATAATCGTTCATGATCCTCTCTCTTCCCCCTCCCCCAATCAAATTTACCTCATTCTCGATGGTTAAATATTTTCCTTAGTCTCATCACTTGATTCAAACGTTAGAATTTCTAGATTTTGTTTAATTGTATATGGCAGGTGCTTGCATTTTCTGCTGCTCTAGAGTCCCGAAAAATAACTGTCAGTGTACGTCAAACACGGGGCCTAGATGCCAGTGCTGCTTGTGGACAGCTAAGAAACGAATTCCAGAAGAGCCCTTTGCTTCCAGACTCTGATGACGTGCAATCTCAATTGGGCATCGCAGTTGCTTGTTGATACCACAGAGTTTCTCAAGAGTCTGATAGTTTGCTAAGCTTGCTGTATACCATATACTTCATCTTCCAACCACTTACGAAAAGCTCAATGAAAGTGGTCACTGAGGGGAGATCCAGTTGGCATTGCGAGCTCTGCTACTTGAGGAAAGATGATAGTAACCTTAGTGGAATGCCCCACATAAGTCGTGTATCTGTTGTACAGGAGGCTTCGATTTTGGCCAAGAAAAGAGTGGACAACGCAATATGCTGAATCACTATTGATGTTGGAACTCCCCGTGGAATCGAAAAGTTGTGAAGGGGTTTACTTGGGCAATAATTTCCATTTTTGTTTTCTTGGCAAAACTGCTTGATGGTGGTTGATTTAGTCATCTTGGAAGCAGAACTTTGGTGAAATTAGAAGGGAAAAAGTTTCACGGCATATTACTAGTGAAATTGTAGATGGTGCTCGTACGGTACATACGTGATTGATGAACTCTCTAACTCTTTCTTGCATGATAGAGAGTTATGTGGGGGTTCTACTTACCTATTTGTTAGCGTATTATTGAATTATAATACTGTGTAATAATGTTGGCGTGGTATTGTTGCATTAATATTTTCTTCGGTCTGACCCCCAAAATGGAAAAAAATAATTTTTTTTGTTGATAACCTCAAATCGTTCTATTTGTTCAATATTATTAACAATGTATATTAACAAAATTAAAAATATTCAACTTTTTAAATAACAAAATTAAAAATATTCAAGTTTTAAATATTGGGTTTATGTTGATAATTTATTGGGCTAATTTCATTTTATATCTTGAAACATATTTTGATTCTCAAATTGTACCATCAAATATTAAATTTTTTAATTTATACTCTCAATGTTATGAATTTGTACTAATGTGGCCCTTGGCCAAACTATCTTCAATTTTTTGACATTTACTTGAAGCACATGAGTTGTAATTCTTCAGGTATAGGCTTATATATAATTCACATATTATTGACGTCTTATATGAGTTGCACATGATAGTATTAGCCCTTTGAGTAATGAAACCCCTATTTTTGATATAACAAACAGTGACAAATTAATCAGAGACGAAGATCTGCAATGATGAAGATAGTTTATTCTCATGTCTAAAAACACTTACACACTAGATGTTTCAATTTAAGACGAAATTTGATTGATAGTCTGGGTTAGGTTCACATTATTACTAATTTATAATATTGAGGGTACAAATTAAACATTTTTATATTTTGAGGGTAGGGGTGTGTTANTTAAAAAGGAGAGAAAAAGTGGAAAACAATCTGTTCAGAGATGTTGGGACCTATGAGTTTTCAAGCCTGAGAACTTATTTCTGATTTGTTGGGTGTCCACTGTCCAGTATCATCCTTCCTTATTGGACTGCTCTTCTCGTAGTCCACAATTTCATGGGTGTCCTTTTAGTTTTCCAATTTTTGCATCTCAAACTTTTGGAAGCCGGGCATTTTCATTAAATTATTTGCTTGTGAATACACAGGAGTCTTTTACATGCTCCAAACCAGAAAACACTCACAAGCAGGGCAAATTATTTCAGTGCTTTCTTGATAAATTCAATCTTCATCGGTTCATGACTAACACTTTTCTTTTGCTTTACTCTCAAGCTTGCATGCTCCAAACCAAAAAGTTAGGGAACAAATTGTGCCTAGTGCAAAGTCCTATCCTTTGGATGCAATCATGAAGGATTGCAGGGACTACTTCCTTGAAACCAGTCGAAGGGTATCCTTTGAGTACACACTTTTAGGTATTGGAATTGCACCTGCCTTATTTTTCATGTTCCTTTCCTGAACACATGGATTGACAACATGAAATACGTTGCAACTTCTTTTGGCAGCTGGAGTCAATGATGCAGTGGAACATGCAATAGAACTTGCAGATCTCATCCAGGAATGGGGACCTGGTTATCACGTGAACCTGATACCTTTCAATCCAATAGAAGGCTCTGAGTATCGGCGTCCGTATAAAAAAGCAGTACGCCTTTCATTTCCTTTTTCTATTTGGTGCATTTATGGACATTTATAATCGTTCATGATCCTCTCTCTTCCCCCTCCCCCAATCAAATTTACCTCATCCTCGATGGTTAAATATTTTCCTTAGTCTCATCACTTGATTCAAACGTTAGAATTTCTAGATTTTGTTTAATTGTATCTGGCAGGTGCTTGCATTTTCTGCTGCTCTAGAGTCCCGAAAAATAACTGTCAGTGTACGTCAAACACGTGGCCTAGATGCCAGTGCTGCTTGTGGACAGCTAAGAAACGAATTCCAGAAGAGCCCTTTGCTTCCAGACTCTGATGACGTGCAATCTCAATTGGGCATCGCAGTTGCTTGTTGATACCACAGAGTTTCTCAAGAGTCTGATAGTTTGCTAAGCTTGCTGTATACCATATACTTCATCTTCCAACCACTTACGAAAAGCTCAATGAAAGTGGTCACTGAGGGGAGATCCAGTTGGCATTGCGAGCTCTGCTACTTGAGGAAAGATGATAGTAACCTTAGTGGAATGCCCCACATAAGTCGTGTATCTGTTGTACAGGAGGCTTCGATTTTGGCCAAGAAAAGAGTGGACAACGCAATATGCTGAATCACTATTGATGTTGGAACTCCCCGTGGAATCGAAAAGTTGTGAAGGGGTTTACTTGGGCAATAATTTCCATTTTTGTTTTCTTGGCAAAACTGCTTGATGGTGGTTGATTTAGTCATCTTGGAAGCAGAACTTTGGTGAAATTAGAAGGGAAAAAGTTTCACGGCATATTACTAGTGAAATTGTAGATGGTGCTCGTACGGTACATACGTGATTGATGAACTCTCTAACTCTTTCTTGCATGATAGAGAGTTATGTGGGGGTTCTACTTACCTATTTGTTAGCGTATTATTGAATTATAATACTGTGTAATAATGTTGGCATGGTATTGTTGCATTAATATTTTCTTCGGTCTGACCCCCAAAATGGAAAAAAATAATTTTTTTGTTGATAACCTCCANTACTTACCTATTTGTTAGCGTATTATTGAATTATAATACTGTGTAATAATGTTGGCGTGGTATTGTTGCATTAATATTTTCTTCGGTCTGACCCCCAAAATGGAAAAAAATAATTTTTTTTGTTGATAACCTCAAATCGTTCTATTTGTTCAATATTATTAACAATGTATATTAACAAAATTAAAAATATTCAACTTTTTAAATAACAAAATTAAAAATATTCAAGTTTTAAATATTGGGTTTATGTTGATAATTTATTGGGCTAATTTCATTTTATATCTTGAAACATATTTTGATTCTCAAATTGTACCATCAAATATTAAATTTTTTAATTTATACTCTCAATGTTATGAATTTGTACTAATGTGGCCCTTGGCCAAACTATCTTCAATTTTTTGACATTTACTTGAAGCACATGAGTTGTAATTTTTCAGGTATAGGCTTATATATAATTCACATATTATTGACGTCTTATATGAGTTGCACATGATAGTATTAGTCATTTGCGTAATGAAACCCCTATTTTTGATATAACAAACAGTGACAAATTAATCAGAGACGAAGATCTACAATGATGAAGATAGTTTATTCTCATGTCTGAAAACACTTACACACTAGATGTTTCAATTTAAGACGAAATTTGATTGATAGTCTGGGGTCAGGTTCACATTATTACTAATTTATAATATTGAGGGTACAAATTAAACATTTTTATATTTTGAGGGTAGGGGTGTGTTAATTAAGACAAGATACTTGAGCTCAATTTAGATAAAAAGTCGGTTCGAGCTTGATTCGTATTCTAAACAAACTAAGCTAAAAGGCTCGACTTAAGTTTGCAAAACGTTTATATGTAAAATAATCAAATTACTCGGGCTTAGACNTTGGCCAAACTATCTTCAATTTTTTGACATTTACTTGAAGCACATGAGTTGTAATTCTTCAGGTATAGGCTTATATATAATTCACATATTATTGACGTCTTATATGAGTTGCACATGATAGTATTAGCCCTTTGAGTAATGAAACCCCTATTTTTGATATAACAAACAGTGACAAATTAATCAGAGACGAAGATCTGCAATGATGAAGATAGTTTATTCTCATGTCTAAAAACACTTACACACTAGATGTTTCAATTTAAGACGAAATTTGATTGATAGTCTGGGTTAGGTTCACATTATTACTAATTTATAATATTGAGGGTACAAATTAAACATTTTTATATTTTGAGGGTAGGGGTGTGTTAATTGAGACAAGATACTTGAGCTCAATTTAGATAGAAAGTCGGTTCGAGCTTGACTCGTATTCTAAACAAACTAAGCTAAAAGGCTCGACTTAAGTTTACAAAACGTTTATATGTAAAATAATCAAATTACTCGGGCTTAGACTCAACTCGAGTTTTAAAAAAACCAAACTTAAACAATTTTAAGCTTGTTTAAAAAAATAAATTCGCCATTGAGACAACATAGTAATAAAAATGAGTAGCGAAAATGAAAAATATTAAGTTAGATGTGTGAAAAAACTAAAAAAAAATAGAATCTAAAATGATTGTATTAGAGAAATGGTAAGAGTAGTTTCAATTGAAGAAAAGTTGAGAGAGAATACATTAAGAAGATTTGATCATATTCAATAGATGCCAATAGAGGCTCCGGTTAAACAAATTGATAAAATTTATTTTAATGGTACTTGGGATAAGGATAGACTTAAATTAATATTGAATGAAATAATAAAAAAAGATACGAAAAATACTTAATTTAAATAATACCAAAATGAATGGTAAAGATGGACTCATATAGCCAATTCCAAATGATTGTGACACAAGAGTCAATTTGGTTTGATTTAGGGTGCACATTGAGAATTGCAGTATCTTTTGAGGTGCAAAACGAGATTAGCCATACTTTATTTACCGTCCGAGTCAGCGTCTGAACCAAACCTACCCGGTCCAATTTGAATTGATGTCCCTAGGGCTTACGTAAGCAAATGTTCTAAAACCCGTTTATAAATACACATCAAACGCGAGTTCTGCACTCAGACCCGACTCTCTCTCTTCGATTTTTTCTCTATATTCTCTCTAGTTGCCGTCTGAGGGCTCTCATTCCACAGGTAAATCTGACACTCTTTTGCTTAGTTAGGGCTTGTGATTTTTCGTTTTCTTGATCGTGATTCGTTCTTCATCTATCGTCTCGACTGTTTTCTGGTAAACCAAAAAGATTATTAGGGCTTCCCTGTATGCGTGACGAAGTTTTGTCGCAATCCCTCGATACCATGATATTTTTTTTTATTTAAGGGAAAACTCAATTTTTATGCTTGTACAGCGTGTGAAATTATTCGGATAGAATTGTCAATCGTGTTAGTTTTGGAGCTTTTGGTTGAGATACCTGAGAATATGATTTCAACATATATGCTTTTATGAGGATTCCGTTGTGTAAAAAGAAAATATCAGGAAGTAATAAGTTTGAACCCTGTACATTCGAAATATCATTAGGAAGAATTTAGATAGTATGTTTAACATTGTTTTCAATGCCTGTTTAATAAATCTTTCATGATTTTTGGCTGTAAGGCATTCAACGACGAGTGAAATCCATTTAAAAACTGATAAAGTCAACATTTCAAGTGTAAAGATGTTGATTTCCGTCCAAAAGAGCATTGACATTGCCTAGTTTTTGTACCAAATAAGTTACTAATTCTTTTCCCTGTCCCCAACATTTTATGCAACATGGATATGTATTGCATATCCAAGTTGGAAGGGCATAGTGTTTTTCTGAAATATGGGCTTTGGTTAAAACGAACAGGGCCTCAAGTATTTTGGTATTTTAGGTGGGCCATGGTCAGCTTTGGCCCAAGGGTGGCTTTGCTTGGTTTTAGACATCCACATTGTCAAGTAATTTATCTGCGGCTTGCTTACAATGTTGGCATATGTCAGAGAAATTTTAGGCGTATTTATTCTCAAATTTCAGTTTACTTCCTGCAACTCGGTCAGTCTTTCAGATATTGTGTATGGTGGTCGAGAGACTACATGAACTTATTCAGACTAAAACATGATTTGGCTATGATTTATTTTTCCAATCCATCACCATAGCGGATTTGTGATAGTGATCATATGCTTGTACTAGTGTGTTCTTGAATTTAAGAAGAATAGTTCATATGCGTGTTTGCTAAATGTGTCCAGACACCTATTCATTGCAAAAATTGTTTCAATTTCAGAGATTCTTACAAAGATTTTGGCTACTGAATATTGCTCATTGTAACTGCAGTTTAGTCGCTTATTTAGTGCTTTGATAACCGTNATTTCAGAGATTCTTACAAAGATTTTGGCTACTGAATATTGCTCATTGTAACTGCATTTTAGTTGCTTATTTAGTGCTTTGATAACCATTAACATTGTCTAATTATCCTATTGGATTTATACNTATGCGTGTTTGCTAAATGTGTCCAGACACCTATTCATTGCAAAAATTGTTTCAATTTCAGAGATTCTTACAAAGATTTTGGCTACTGAATATTGCTCATTGTAACTGCATTTTAGTCGCTTATTTAGTGCTTTGATAACCATTAACATTGTCTAATTATCCTATTGGATTTATACCAAAGATGCAGTTGCATTTATTTATCACTATTTTGATAATACATCATGTTTATTGTCCTACGGTGCTACTATCCTTGTTCTTTTCAATTCTCTTTAATGTAGTATATTGGAAAGAGTAATTGGATTTATGAGTATTGGTTCTGTTGTCAAGGCTGAAAGATGCGAAGGTACAGTCCACCATACTACAGTCCTCCAAGGAGAGGTTATGGAGGTCGACCAAGAAGCCCTCCAAGAAGAGGATATGGTGGTGATCGTGGGAGACATAAGGAGCAGAATAATGGCAGCCTTTTGGTTCGAAACATCCCGATAAGTTGCAGGTAAGTTTCCATGCAATTGTTACAAGTTATGGCCAGATTGCTTGAATGAAGCTATAGCTTGGATTTAATTTTTGACAGTCCTCAATTTAAGAGAGCCTTTCCTTTGTTTTTGATTATTTTTCCCTGTTGCACTTGGGTGCTTGGTGCTTGCAGGCCAGAGGACCTTCGAACTCCATTTGAAAGATTTGGACTAGTTAGGGATGTATATCTTCCAAAGGACTATTACTCAGGGTGAGTGTTGCACCACTACATTGTCTTTGTATATTCCATTGTGCTTCAGCTCTATTTAACTGTTTGTGATCATCCATGTTGATCATTTTATCCAGTAATAGTGTATTACCATTACTTTCTTAGTTGTACTTGTAGCAAGGTTGCTGTAGGGTAGCAAGCTGAGCCTAATCAGGCTAGTATTTGCTACTTGAGCCCTGTTCAAAGCTCTGGTAGCTTTCTCAAATTTTCATTGTTTGAATTTGGCCATTCTTAAGCTTGTTCAAAATTCCGAGTGATGCTTCAACCTTTGGCAATTCCGCATATCAATAACTGGAAGTGTCAGAAGCTTTGTTTATATTCCTTGCCATACTGATTGTTATTTTTTTTTTTCTGATATGTTTACTTTTGGTTTACTTCTCAAGGACTTGTAATGTTGTGGTAAAACAGATGATTTACTCAACTGTTAACGAATCTGACAAAGGCAGCCTTAGCTTTTAATTTTTTGTTTTCTGATCTCTTTGGATGAGGATCTCAATAAGCTTCGCTGAGCTGTACATGAGCAGATTGTTCCTTTTGAAGAATATAAATGTGTCTATAGCTTGTCATAAGTCGCTCAAATGTGGCAGTTAACATCAGCAAGGAAGTTCTTGCACTCTGCAAGTTCTTGCAGCATTCCAATTATTAAGTGCCATTGGGGAATGACTACAGTTCGTATTCTGCTTGATATGAGAATTCAATTACACTGCATACTTTTTTGAAAATTGGCACCCTGTCAAAATGATTAAACTTGCTAGATCAAGTATATTTTTTGTTGTGTTGGTATCCACTGTTGCATTAAGTAAACAAAAGGTATCATAAATCTGTTGAGTTACATTTCGAACTATTTATTAAGGTTTACATCCTTCTTTTTCGTAGTGAGTTACGCTTTGAACTGGTTTGTCAGGGGGTCTGTTTGTTTGAAGTTAAAACAAGCCCAAGCCTCACATTTGATGAAGGCCTACTGTTTATGATTGCATTACATTTTGTCCTCCAAGGGTGTTAAGAGTAATGGTCCAAATGAAGAATGTTCCTTTTTGAAGAGAAATTATATAATTACACAACCAATAGAAGTTTGATGAGGAAGAAGATTTTGATCAATTGAAGACCACATGTGGAGATTTTAAATTTGGGGCAAGGTTGATGTCAGGTGCTCCTTATGTTTACAAGAATGTGAAGAATTATCAAGTCACTTGCATCTATTGAAGTTGCCTTTCATAGTTGATTGTAGAAGAAAAGGTCAGCCATTTGGATTTTAACTGCTTTTGTGTACTTATGTGTCTACTACTGTATGGAATTGCTCCGAAGCTGATTTTAGTTATGTAAAGGAAGGTACATTAATCAATGGCATTGTTGCAGTAACTAATTATGCTTTCCCTGGTTAGTATATTTTTGCAATCAGCGAGTGCTCGCTTGCAAACTTGGGTTCTTTCGTTAAAGCTTTGGTGCATTTCTGATGCAGGGAACCTCGTGGGTTTGCATTTGTGCAGTTTGTGGATCCTTATGAAGCAGCTCAGGCTCAATATCATATGAATGGGCAGATGTTTTCTGGGAGGGAGATATCTGTGGTGGTTGCTGCAGAGACAAGGAAAAGGCCAGAGGAGATGCGCCGTAGAACTCGACCCAGGTAAGATACTTTATTTTCCTTTGACAATGCCATTTTCCTTTGACAATGCCTAGGTGGTTAGTTGTTACATTACATTATTATTCTCACATTCCTGTTATTTGTTGTACATTCAGCCGAGGAGCCTCAGGCTCTGGAGGGCGACGATATGGTAAGAAATTCAAATATTGATGAGTACTTATTTCCAGAATAGTTCACTTTTCACATTGCACATTCCTTTTGAAATGAAACAACGGCCTTCTGATGGCTTTGTTATGTGTTTGTTTATGAGTTAAAGTAAGGATAGGCCCATTTGTTTTGTTTCCTATTTTCACTTAGAAAGGTTGATTAAAGCTATCTCCTGCTTTAAGTCAACGGATGGAAGCACCTTTGCTGTGCTGGGCTTCACCAATAACTCGTATTACTGCAAATGTGGTTGCCTGATATTGTGTAATTCCAATACAAGCTTGATTCAGTGTGTTCTAAGACCTTGTTATTTTTTCAATTTGTATTTAGGTGATGCCTCCTTAAACCTCTTATTTTCTAAATCCAAATGTTAATAAATTAAACTAGATTTGTATGTCAAGGGGGAAAAAACAGTTGATATACATGCCTTGGCTGTGTTTTTCATGTGGTCTTTCTTGAAGCTATAAATGTGTATTGACATAGTTTCAACTTCTTTTTGGATTGGAACATGTGACTGATACCATTATAATGAAGTGATGAATCTTGTTTTTGGTTGTCATGTTGTGCCCAACTAGGGGTGTCAAACGTGTCGGGTTAAACGGGTGATGGGTGAAAAATGTATAAACCTGTACACGACACATTTAATAAACGGGTGAAAAATCTCAACACGAACACGACCCGTTTAATAAACGAGTAACATGNAACCTGTACACGACACATTTAATAAACGGGTGAAAAATCTCAACACGAACACGACCTGTTTAATAAACGAGTAACATGACACGACTCGTTTAACCCGTTTAATTTTAAAAAATTATTTTAATAAATTTTAATACTCACTTTTTTTATTGTCAATTGCACTTACCTTAAAAAAGAGGAATTTTTAGCCAAATTTCATATCTCATAAAAATAAGATTTGAAGGCTTAAAAAGAAAAGCNTTGCACTTACCTTAAAAAAGAGGAATTTTTAGCCAAATTTCATATCTCATAAAAATAAGATTTGAAGGTTTAAAAAGAAAAGCAAGAGGTCATTGCTTTTTATAGGCAACTCAACCCTCTCCATCTCCCCTCATTTTCTAATGTGGGACAAAAACAAAAAGTATTGGTTTGCCTTTGTTTTTGAAGTGTTCCACATCTCTTCTCTTTTGTCTTTGAACTACTACTTTATTTATTTTTTCTTATTGATTTCTTTACTTCTTTTTTTCTTGTTAATTTTTTAAAATAATTATTAATTTATTATTATATTAATAATATTTAAACGGGTAAACGTGTGATAAACGGTTTGACATGTCTCACCCAAACACGACCCGTTTATTAAACGTGTTTGGCGTGTCAACCCGTTTATCACCCAAACCCGTTAAGATCTCACCCAAACCCGTTTAATTCGTGTCGATTCGTGTTGGTTAATCGTGTCGTATCAAATTTTGACAGTCCTATGCCCAACTGGCCATTTGCTGTTGTTTCACGGGTTCAGGTGTTCTTTCATTATTTTTAAACTTTATTCCTTTGTTTGTAAATTCACTATATCAGCCCACGAAGATCTTACATCTTAAGGCTAATTAAAGTTCTTTCATTAATGTTCGAGTCATTAACCATAAGGCTTATTTTTTTGTTAGATTGTTGTATGGCTAGTAAAGCTAAGGCTGCTGTTCTTATATATAATTCTGTATATATAGATTTGTGTGTATCTTCTGCTTCACTATCACTATCCTGCAGGACGTTCTCGTTCTCGTTCCCGTTCACGGTCCCCCCGCTATCCTTCAGGTTCTCGAAGTCGTCATCGATCAAGGTAAGAAAGATCTCAAGGTTACAAAATGCCATCATCTCTGTTCATTTGTTGAATCAGGAAACTTGATTCAATTTTTTATGTTATTAGGTCCTACTCTCCTGCACCAAGACGGGGAAGTGCATACTCCATTTCCCCTGAAAGAAGGCACTCAGATCGCCCTAGATCAACAAGAAATCATCCAGAAGAACGAGAAGTGGATAATGTTCGCAGGTCATACTCTCCAGGTTATGACAATGCTGCTGATCAAATTGGCAATGGGTATGGCAAGTAGAAACATTTACTCCTAGTTATATAGCATTTTTTTATACTCCTATTCGTGTGGATTTAATTGTGATTGCATGAAAGATGGATACATGTTTGATGGGATTTCTGAAGTCCTAACATGAACCATATCTTGATAGTGGTAGAAGACAAAGCCCCTGGTTCTGAATGTTGGTAGAATATTTTTCTTTGATAGGAAGTGGAACACATATATCGTTAACATAGAAGAGAAAATTAGAAGAAATCAAAAAGGTTGGATAATAAATCCAACCTAAGAAATAAAAAGGGTTAGATACAATTTACTCCCTTCAACTATGTCCCTTGTTATACTCAGCTTCCTACGGTGTCAAATGTTGCTATTTGTTGCCTCCAAGTTTCAAGTGGACTAAATTGACTAATAGTAATGACCATGAAAACACCCTCTATCTTGTATATTATTTCTTGGATATTTTTTTTAATGAGATACCAATTCTATCCCTAAAACCAATTAGGAAACTCGTGTCAATTTTATACCTAAAAAAAAATTAGGAAACAAAAAAATCAAGACCATAGTTGTCAAATCGGGTATCGGAAGGTGTATCGTTTTTTAAAAATAATGTATCGTATCGTGTATTGTGTATCGTAAGATACAGTGTAACTTTAAATAATTAATAATAAAATATATATTTACAAACTTTAGGGTGTCTAGATGTAATTTATTAATGGATATATTTACAGCAGAGGTCTAAGTGATACGTGTATATAAATTTTAGAGGGTTTGTGTATAATATTTTAAATATTAGGGGGTCTAAATGATTAAATAATAAACCTCAAGGGGTCTAAGTGTAATTTTTTATATTTTAAAGCATAGTAGAGATCATAGTTATCAAATCGTGTATCGGAAGGCGTATCGTAAGATACAAATATTGTATCGTATCGTGTATCGTAAGATACGATGCAATTTTAAATAAATAATAAAAAAATATATATACCTTTGAAAAAAAGTCATACACTCATAAAAAATATAGCATTTCATTAATACTCCACCAACTATTCAAGTTATCAACATAATCCACTACTATTATAATGCAAAGTTCACAACCATAGTTCACTAATTCAAACTTTAAACACCAAAGAGACTTCTAATCCAAATTTCTAACATCCATTTTGAACTCAATCTTCAATTTCAATTGAAAATGCATCATCATCATCATCATTGTGATCGGATGCCAACAAGTCTTCACTTCCTTTATCATCTTCAACTTCTTGTATTT